AGGCTTCCAGATTTGTCTTTATCTCCTCTATTGTGTTTTTCATCTCTAAGATTTCTGATTGGTTTTTTTTATAGTTTCAATCTCTTTTGTGAAGAAACTCCTGATTTCACTGAATTGTCTGTCTGTATTTTCTTGTATTTCTTTAATCTTCTTTATGATGGCTGTTTTGAATTCTCTGTCGTTAAGGTTATACATTTCTGTGCTTTCTGGGTTGACTTCTGGGTGCTTGTCATTTTCCTTTTGGTGTGGAGATTTAATATATTTTTGCACGGTGCCTGTTGGTGTTGGCTTACCTTTCCTCATAGTGAAAATATATGGTCGCAGTTTCCTCTTGCTGCCACTGGGTGGGGGTCAAGGGCTGTGTATTCTGGACCACCTCAATCTGTGGGCACTCTTGTCGGCCCCTGGCTGATATGTGGTGTGGCTGAGTGGAGACTGCTGGGGGGAAGTGTGGAAACAGCTGGTGCTGGAGCGCAGCTAGGCCGAAGCAGCTGGGGCTCGGGTGCAGGTGGGTTGAATCAGCTGCAGCTGAAGTGCCGCTGGGCCAAAGAAGCTGGAACTGGAGTGTGCCGGGCCAAAGAAGCTGGAACTGGAGTGTGCTGGGCCGAAAAAGGAGGAACTGGAGTACCACTGGGCCAAAGAAGCTGGAACTGGAGGGTGGTGGGCTGAAGTTGCTGGTGCCAAGTCAGCTGGAGCCTGCACACAGGTCGAGCCGAAGCAGCTCCTTCCACTTACTCTGGAGTTGCTAGCACCTCAGTCCTTGGGTGTACAGCTGCCTGGGTGCCTCAGATGTCCCCTGTGTTGTGTGAATAGCTTCTGTTGGAATATGAATGTCTTTTTTGTTGTGTCTTAGAGGGGGAGACTTCAATGGGAGAAGCTCACTCCGCCATGATGAGAGACACTAAATCTTAAAGAGATATCCACCGAAGTTCAGTTACAGAAACTGAAGAAAATTTACTATAGAAAGTAGTTTGTTTTGGACAAGTTGTAGATTTTGTTTAATTGCCAGATTTTATGATGGGGAGGTCAAGAATATTAGTAAATTTATAGTGATTATTTTTCAAAGCTGATAATTCCTTTCTTTGATTAAAATAGTATTGGATTATCCTGAGTCAAAGCAATTTTTTTTAATCTATATTGAAAAATAAAAGAGAGCAAAATTTAATCTGAGAATAGTCAAGAAGAAGACTGAAACCCACAGTGAAATATTTTTATCTCTGTCTTCCTCAATCGTGATTGCTTCCAACTTCCAAACCGAAAGTGGAGGGCTGTTTTTCCATTGTCAATAATATTGTCCCTTCATCCTCAAGTGTTTGAGTAGGTACAAACATTTTACCAGTACTCATGTCTTTTCTTTTATTTCCATTCAGATCATTCAGTCATTGCTCATGACTGTGGCCAACAATTTTGTTACTGACAAGAACTCTGGGGAAGTCATGACAGTAGGGTATGTAGAATGTGGCTGGAGGCAGTGGATATGTTTTTAACGTACCAGGTTTGCTTTATGTTACCAAGATATAAGATTTCAGCTGACAATGTGGCCTCTAGAAAAGCAGTTTTTTGTTTTTTGTTTTTGAGGAAGATTGGCCCAGAGCTAACATCTGTGTCCAGTCTTCCTCCTTTTTTCCCTTTTTCTCCTCAAAGCCCCAGTAGATAGTTGTGTGGCATAGTTGTACATCCTTCCAGTTGCTCTATGTGGGATGCTGCCTCAGCATGGCTTGAAGAGTGGTGCATAGGTCCCCACCAGGGATCCGAACTGGCGAATCCCGGGCTGCCAACAGGAGCCCACAAACTTAACCACTATACCCCTGGGCCGGCCCTGAAAAGCAGTTTAAAATATACTTCTGTCTTCTCAGTAGGCTTAGTATTTTTATTTTATTGGTCAGAATTTTGAGGAGGGAGCTGGAGAAAAGATATTTCTCCTTCTAATGAACACTTTGTTTTTTTATTAGCTTAACTCTTTCAAATGAATGATTGTTTGGCAATCTAATTGTTTTTCTCCTATCTCCTACCCTGAATTCATATCTTCCCCTGGAACAAATGATTTGTTATTGAGTTACTCTTTAATCCCAGTGGCCCTTTTGATTAATTCAAAAATACTTTTTTTTATAATTTTATTTATTTATTTTTTCCACAAAGCCCCAGTAGATAGTTGTATGTCATAGCTGCACATCCTTCTAGTTGCTGTACGTGGGACGTGGCCTCAGCATGGCCAGAGAAGTGGTGCGTCGGTGGGTGCCCGGGATCCGAACCCCGGGCTGCCAGCAGCGGAGTGCGCACACTTAACCACTAAGCCACGGGGCCCAAAAATACTTAATAAGTGTGAGCACTGGTTTAAGGATTGTCTAATCTGTCCTGCTATGCTGAATAGATGCTTTTTTATCTCCTTTGGAAAATATTGCTGGTGTAACAGCCCTAGAGACCTTTAACTTTTCTTATTTGACGTCGTACTGTTTCCCCCTTAGAGTTGGGAAAGAAATGCTGCCATGATTTACTTTACAGAGAAGACATTGTTCCTTACTCCACTAGTAGAGGAAATTGCTATAAACTGTCTAGAATAAAAGCCCTTTAAGCCTATTTTATTCCCACCTTCACGTTCTCTACTATGCTGCGGTTTTAGAGACCTAACCCCTATAAACCCAACTTATATTCCTTTTGATGTAGTCTTTTTAGGAAACTTTGGGTTGAACCACATGAAATTGCTCTTTTGGTTTTCTTAATTCATTTTTCCTTTTCTAGAATCAATGCTATAAAAGAGATAACAGCTCGATGTCCTCTAGCCATGACTGAAGAACTTCTCCAAGATCTGGCTCAGTATAAAACCCACAAAGATAAGAGTAAGTTGTTATTCTTGGTAGACCAAAGCATATAGAGTGACTCATTTTTTTTGATGAGAAAGATTAGCCCTGATCTAACACCTATTGCCAAAATCTTCCTCTTTTTGCTTGAGGAAGAGTGGCCCTGAGCTAACATCTGGCCCATCTTCCTCTATTTTGTATGTGGGATGCCTCCGCAGCATGGCTTGATGAGTGGTGTAGGTCCATGCCTGGGAGTTGAACCTGCAAATCCAGGCCCCTGAAGCGGAGCATGCTGAACTTAACCACTATGCTGCTGGGCCAGCCCTAGAGTGACTCATTTTTACCTCAATAGACTCTTTGCTCTGAAGTTTCTAATTAAAGGTATTATTTTACAGATGTGATGATGTCTGCTAGAACTTTGATTCAGCTCTTCCGAACACTGAATCCTCAGATGTTGCAGAAGAAATTCCGGGTAGGTGAAGCATACGTATGTTGATCTAAAGGTATGGTCTCAGAAGGTGAGAGTAACTTTCTACAGTTTGAGTTTTAGTATTTGTGGTGCTTCCATTATGACTGTTGGTGGTACACGTAGTTTTATTCTTTAAGCTCAGAATACAATTGATTGAATACCATTGCCTTAAATATTTTATAGTTGGTACATGCTCTTTGGTGATGGCTGAGTCTTATAGACCTAGTAGGCTGTTTCAAGTCATTAGCTGATGCCAGTATTGAACAGGCTATTCCCCAGCCGGATACCACCTCTTTTGAGTTAGGAGGGAAGAGAGATGTATGTAACAGAAAGAGAGGTGGTGATCTCAAGACTTAAGAGTCAGAACAATTATTGTCTAGTAACTGCCAGTTTCCTGATCTGGATCAGAAGAAAGCAAGAAAATAGTGGGCAGAGTTCTGGCTGGGGGATTTACTTTGACCCAAGACATAAGTGAACTGTTTTTGTCATTTATTTCCATTTTTTGTGATTTTTCCCTTCTAAATTCATAATCCTAGAGAATCCTTTTCATGAATAATATTTTGCGACATAAGCACCTTATTAAAACAGTTTCCTTTCCTTTAGGGTAAACCTACAGAGGCCTCCATAGAAGCAAGAGTGCAAGAATATGGAGAATTAGATGCTAAAGATTACATTCCAGGAGCAGAAATTTTGGAAGTTGAAAAAGAAGAAAAGAATGCTGAAAACGATGAAGGTTCATTTTATTTCACCATTATTCAGGACAAAAATCACTCGTATATCTGTATTGACCTTGAAATCTTTATGCTGTTTAAATGTTCATTCAGCAGATATTTACTGAGCAATGACTACGTGCCAAGCACTGTTACAAGCAACGCGGGGTCAAACGGGCATGGTTTCTGTTCTTGGGGAACTTAAATTCTAGTGTAGGAGATGCCTTTTCATATCCTTCCAAGTGGGCTGCCTCTTATCAAGGCCTGCTGTTTGGCACTTGGGAAAGATAATGGTTTTTGTTGCCTAGACAAAATGATGAGGATTAGTCCTTAGCAATCCTCCAAAGTCTCTTGTTGAAGGAGAATGCTTGTTGAACTTGTTGAAAAATGCTTGAGGAACTCCATTCTGATTTCCAGGGTTAGCATTTATTGCATTGGTTGCTAGGGTCCTGTCTTCTTCCTGTTCATTCATTCATTATTTCAACAAAGCTTTCTTTTTTTTGAAGCAATGGTTCTTTTTTCTTTTTTTTGTTTTTATTTATTTATTTTTCCCCTAAAGCCCCAGTAGATAGTTGTATGTCATAGTTGCACATCCTTCTAGTTGCTGTACGTGGGACACGGCCTCAGGATGGCCGGAGAGGCGGTGCGTCGGTGCGTGCCCGGGATCTGAACCTGGGCCGCCAGCAGTGGAGCGTATGCACTTAACCACTAAGCCACGGGGCCGGCCCATCAACAAAGCTTTCTTAAGCGTTAGCTATGAGCTGACCACTGTCAAAGTAAAGATGAATGATATCATTCCTGCCTTTGAGGACCTTTCATAAATAGCTAATAAAGCATTAACAGGATTTATGATTGGAGTGGGGCATAAGGGCAGGAGAGGTCAGGTCCACCTCAGAGGTTCAGAAAGGCTTCAAGAAGATGTTGGCCCATGAGCTGTATCTTGAATGTTGAGTGAGGAATGGCAGAATAATGGAGACTTTCCAGGCAAACTATGAGCAAAATCCTGAAAGATTTAGGATACGTTTTGAATGTAGGATACAGAGTGAGGCTTAGCAAGATATGAGACTAGGGATAGAGTTGGGGCCAATGAGTGGTTGTGTGTATACCATACCAAAGAGCTGGGACACTGTCATAGAACATGGGGAACAACTGAAAGATTGCAAGTCTCTGATTTTGAAAGCTTACTGTGGTGGCTCCATTAGGACCTCTAATACCTCTTTATTGAGATGTCTACAAGGTTCGTTCACATCCGAAATCTTCTACCTCAGTTCTCTGAATGACTTATTTCTAACTAGTTTTCTCAAACATGTATCAATATGCTAAGACAAGTTAGATATTTGCTATATGGCCAAGATAAAAGTACAAGTACAGTTTTTTTTAATTGGTGTCACAGTAGTTTATAACATCGTGAAATTTCAGTTGTACATTATTATTTGTCAGTCACCGTATGTATGTGCCCCTTTACCCCTTATGCCTGAACCCCAACCCCCTTCCCCTCTGGTAACTACTGATCTATTCTCTTTGTCCATGTATTTGCAGTTTTGACAGATGCATTGGTTTGGTAGAAAGAACATGGGCTCTAGAGTCAGACATGCGTTTCATGATTTCAGTGTAAGCTGCATTTCTGGCAGTGTGGCTTGGGGCAGGTTACTTGACTTTGAGAACCTGTTCCTCTTCTGCCGAGTCATGAGGTTAGAGGAAGTGATTGTAAAGTTTTGGCTCGTGATAGATACTTGGTCAGTGCTTATTCCCCATTCCTTAAATTAATTTAAGTGTTAAGCTTATTTAACAATAACTGTTGCTCAATTCTTGGTCACTAGAGCATCTGTTTGAGATTCATTACCGAACTTTTCTTTTGCTTGATTTACCTCAGCTTACTGTGAGTACTCAGCATAAAGTGGTAGTACTAACAGCATGCTTTTTTTCACACAGAGGGGTGGGAAAGTACCAGTCTCAGTGAGGAGGCAGATGCTGATGGTGAGTGGGTTGACGTGCACCACTCTTCTGATGAAGAACAGCAAGAAATCGTAAGTCTTAAAATTTCCTTTTACATGTGCATCACTCTGATGGTTATTAATACTTAATTTATGCTGGACCTTATTGGGGGATTAAGCTCCCACTTGAGCTAGTAGCCATTTAAACCTTTATCGTGTGCTTTCAAGTCCAGGAAGCTGAACAGCATGCCCATGGAGGAGCGGAAAGCCAAAGCTGCAGCCATCAGCACTAGCCGAGTTTTAACTCAGGAAGACTTCCAGAAAATCCGCATGGCCCAGATGAGGAAAGAACTCGATGCTGCCCCCGGGAAAGCCCAAAAGAGGAAATACATTGAAATAGACAGTGATGAGGAGCCCAGGTAAAGTGGCACATCCACCAGGTCTTCAGTCAGCTCACATGGTAATGAAAGTATTAGGGGAAAGAATTCCACCCTTGTTTCATATTATATTTTTTCCTTCACCCTAGGGGCGAGTTACTTTCTCTTCGGGACATTGAACGCCTTCATAAAAAGCCAAAGTCTGACAAGGAGACAAGACTAGCAACTGCAATGGTGAGTGAGGAACATGGTTCTCTAGTTCTTTGAACAGAAAGTAAATAAAATGAAATATGCCCCAGAACTTGGATAGCCACAGAAGGGCAGTATTTTATTTTGATGTTTTAAATAAAGGTATAATTAACGTAGAATAAAATGCACAGATAATAGGTGTTCAGTTAGATGAGTTTTAATAACTAGATAACCATGTAACCACCATCCGAAACAAGATATATAGAACACAGCACTAGGACATGTTCTATGTCAAGGAAGCTCAGTACATTTATCAAAGCTATTAGAAAAGCAAGGGAATGTTTACAGTCACTGATGAAAGCCTCTGGCAAGTGCTGTGGCTGTTTGTGATTGCACATTTCCAACTGCCTACATTTCCAACTTCATTTTCTATACCTTTACTTGTTTTAAGTACCATCCCATACTGGCTTAACATCACTGTCTGCATTTCATTTGTACTGAAACCTGTTTAGATAAGTTTAAAAACCCATGTTCTTTCTCCTCCACCCCTTTGCATGTACTATCCCTACTTCCTGAAATGCTCCACTCTTCTCCTCCTCCTCCCTGCTTTCATCCTGCACAAAACAGCTCAGGGGTCCCCCTTTCTAGGAACCTCCTCTGACCTCACCAACCTGAATTATGACCTTTTCTTCCACTGAGCTCCCTTGCCCCATTGCAATACATCATGGTCATTTCTCCTCTGGACTGAGTCGCTGGGGAGCGAGGTCTGTGTTCCATCCATCGTTGTGTCCTTTGCATTCAGTAGAGCTCCTGGCACAGAGGAAACGTGTATGTTGATTAGATAACTCCTGAAGGGTGTTGTTTAAGAAGAAATATCAATCTTTTTGTGCTGATAGGCTGGAAAGATAGACCGAAAAGAATTTGTGAGGAAGAAAACCAAAATGAATCCATTTTCCAGTTCCACAAATAAAGAGAAGAAAAAACAGAAGAACTTTATGATGATGCGGTATAGCCATAATGTCCGGTCAAAAAATAAGCGTTCCTTCCGAGAAAAGCAGGTGAGTTCAACTTGGCTGAACTTGGCTGAAGCTTGGCTGGCTAGAATAGTATTGTCATTCTGAGAATTCTTTTTTTTTGGCAAGGAAGATTGGCCCTGAGCTAACATCTGTTGCCAATCCTCCTCTTTTTTTGAGGAAGATTGTACCTGGGCTAACATCTGTGGCAGTCTTCCTCTACTTTGCATATGGGACACCGTGACATTGTCCTCTGGCTTGATGAGCAGTGTGTAGGTCCATGCCCAAGATCCGAACCCGCAAATCCCAGGCTGCCAAAGTGGAGTGTGCGAACTTAACCACTACACCACCTGGCTGGCCCCTAAGAATTCTTTACCTTTGAGGTGGAGTTGTGCCTTCTAAAGACCCTGTATTATGTGTGTTTTAGGATTAATGTGGAGCATTATTAGAGAGCATGGAGAGGTAGAAAGTGGTCAGGATATGTAAATCCTAGACCTGACTTGGTTGAGATTCAGTAATACGATTCAGTATTTCTGAATCTCAGTATTACTGAATTTCAGTAATAAGATTCAGTAATTCAGGGGAGTCCATTTTTCTCCTCTATAAATACAGGAGTGCAAACTAGGTGATCTCTGTCATCCATTCCTATGCTAAAGTGCTTTGACATTGCATCTTTGAAATATAATATCAAAATTACCTGAATAACAATTTTTTAGTGCTTATTACAATGCCTGCTACTTTTCCAAAAAGCAATAATTATGTGTGGCACTATCTCAGAAACAGTTTCAGGAAGCACTGCAAACTAAGCAGTTCTGTTGTTGGCCTTATCCTTCCTGTATGTGCCCTTTTGCAAAGCCTTTATGTTTACAGGCCTTTGGGATTTCTTTTTATCCATTTTCCGTCTTTGATAGGTAGTCCTGTGTTGCTCTGTTGCCTTACTTATTTCAGTAATTCATTATAGTAGAACAAATTTACATTTTTATATCTTCCTCTACTGATAGTGTACCAGAGTGTATCTAAATGTATTCTGAAGAATCTCTAGGAAGTCAGATCAGGGTAAAGTAGTCCCACATTCTGAACCAGTGTTCCTAAATTGCTGGCCAAGATGAGCCTGCCAGGCCTGAATGTAACGGCCGGCTCTCCAGACAGTGCTCTGTCTGTGTGGGAACCAAGTGAGTCCGTGTTAACTGAAGTAAGGTACCATTTAAAGTCTACCTATCTGTTTATTTAATCTTTCTAGTTCTGTACTGTGTTCAACAACATTATGTAAATAATAAAGTGACAGCATTTTGAATAGAAATCGTTGAAATTGAGATGAAAGGAAAAGTGCCATTTAAAATTTTAAATACTCTGCATTTTGCCAATTCAATTTAAATTCATAGTTGAATTGATTAAATACGTTAGTTTATCCTTCACCAGCCCTTTATAAGATTTTCTGGTTGAGGAAATAGTAATCACCCAGTTGGCAGGCCTTGCTTTATGATGAAGTTTTAGAACCTTGCTACATTTCAGCTAAGAGTGGTCCCCCACTCCCTACTTCTGTGTTTTTAGCATGCCTTTTTTGGCATGATAGAGAAGCCTTGCTTTGTTTCTTGTCAGCACCTCTTGAGTCATAAAACATCTCTCTCAGAGATTAAAGAATTTTTTATTTAAGAGTAAATTAAGAGTTCATTGGACATATGCACTTTTGGTTCAAGAATGCTTTTTCATTATTCTCCAATTTTCTTGCCTTTTGGAATATGAAATTAATCAGAATTGCTAGATGTTTTCTTGCCCTGTATTTTCTTCGAGGTCTGTTCATTATAAAACTTGACCCTAGGTTCCTGATTTTATCTGTTTTCTGCTTCACTCTAGACCAGCACTGCCCAGTAGAAATATAATGTGAACTACTTATATAATTTTAAAATAAAAAAGTAAAAAGAGAGAGGTGAAATTAATTTTAGTAATATATTTTATTTAACCCAATATATCCAAAATAGTATCATTTCAACATGTAATCAATATAAAAATTATTAGACACTTTACATTTTTATTTTTGAACTAATTGAAATCCAGTGTGTGTTTTAGACCTGCAGCACATCTCAGTTTGGGCTTGCCACATGTCAAATGCCCAACAGCCACATGTAGCTCTTGGCTACTGTATTAGACGTTGAACTATAGAGTGTCCCCAAAAAGAAGTGAGACTAGAAAAGGAAGGGAAAGCCCATGATAGAGAATGAGAGGAGGATCTTGCGGTGAAGCCTTTAAAAAGATGAAGGAAAGGAGAGGGACTATACCTGTTTTCTTATGTTCCACTGGTGGCATTTGAAGGGGGAAGGGAACTGAGATATATGTCTGAGAGTAGTCTGTGTTTTGTTACAAAGTTTAATGAGTGGAATTAAATCCATGTAACCCTGTAGGTTATAACATTATTAGCTAACACACAGTTCTTACCATGTGGCTTATTTATTCTAGAGCTTTCCATTTTTTAACTCATTTAATCAATATATGACAAGATGAACAGGTACTGTGATTAAACCTATTTTACGGGAGAAAATAGGACATAGATGAATCTGAGAAATACCTCCTTAGCCATGCAAATTAGATTAAAATGAATTTGTTAATTTTTTTCTACTTTAAGTATCCCAGCTTTTCTGCCTCTCTGCAAAGACATATCAAGACCCAGATATGAGCTATAGGCAAGGAGTCAATAACTTAAAATCATAGTATCCAAAAAGTTTGAACATTTAGATGTAGAGCCAGGCAACTTCCACTCTAGAAAATGCTTTAACAAAGCGAAAATATTAGCACATATCTTGTGAAAATTCAAAAGCTAGAGATCTTTAAAAGTTTCTAGGAATCAAAGAGTGGTGCTTGGGAATTACTAGAATAGTATCCATCACACACTTAAGATGTATACATTGACCCTGGTTATTTTTTTTTTTAATTTGGTTTATTCTTTATTATCTTTTATTTAATATTCTGTTTATTTTCTTTTGAGAGCTGTAAAACTTTATAAGGGCTTTCATAGTTTCCATTTAAACATTGGTTCTGCAGTCTTCTTTTTCTCTAGATCTTAAATTCTTCATCTTCAAATTTAGGAACCCGGCTCCTATGGTTAGAGGACTAGAGGGGATTACAGCCTGGAACCAATCCAAGTAGAACATATAATTCACTGCTTTCATTTCATCTTACATACATCCAACACAAAATAAATAACTTTCAAATTAGCCCATATTAACTAGAATAAATATTTTTGTCTTAAGCCACAATTGTCAGGGTTTTGATTTAATTTCTTCATATTTGAGCCATCATAAAGGATAAGTGTTAGCATTTACTTATTGTAAAATTTTCTTAGTTCATTTATGGTATTAAACAAACCCATTTGAAAATCTGCAAACAAGGAAACATTTTTCTGTGTTCCAAATTGTATATTATAGAGTTATCTTAAGTCTGCACAAATGCTGAATGCCATTTACAAATTTTTAAATGGTCCATATATGCCATATTTGATGGAGTATATGTGATCTTGGAAAAAGTGATTGTGAAGAAAAATCTGTTTTCCTCTTGGCTTTAATTTAGATCATGTGCCCTACTCACAACTCTAAAATATTAAGAGCTGTCTAGATCAGAGAAGTACCATGCCTAGAGACAGACGGTGCTCCAGTCTCTGCATTTAGCATCTGTTTGTGTTTTGAGCTTTTGTCCCATGACATGGGAACAGCAGTCAAGAGATTTGGCTATTTTCCCAGCAGTGAGGAGGCCCAAGTCTAGATACAGATTTGATCTGTTATAGAGTATTTCACTATTTGTAGTTTTTCAGGATGATTTATTGACTTAGTGATTCCATTTTGGTACACTTCCATATAATCAAATTACTATAATGAGGTACCCAAGAGTTACCATGTTTAGATATTTTTTCTTATCTTCCAGCTGGCACTACGAGATGCACTTTTAAAAAAGAGAAAAAGAATGAAGTAACCTCCAAACAAGTTTTCCATTCCAAAGAGAAAGCTAAATTTGTGTCATTATTTTGAAAATTAGTAAATCAAGAATGTTTGTTAACATTAAAAAGTCCAGAAGCACTATTTTGTGAAAAATACAGTAAACTTGGTAGCAATTTGATGTTTTTTATTTTGGGTAATGGTGGGAATGTTTGAAATGTAAACAGTAGTGGTGTTATAAAATCATTTTCATTTAGAATTTATGCAAAAAAAAATTGTTGTGTGCCTACTAGTTGTCACTGTAGATATAAAAATGAATGAGCCATAACCCTTCACTCAAGACATTCACAGCCTGTTTGGGGGATGGGGGAGCAAGTGTGTACATGTGTATTTATAATGCAGTGTAAATAGTTCTCCATTTCTGTGGGGTCTCTGAGGCCTTACAGACTAACTCTGCAGAAGATGGGAGTTACATATTCTCTAAAAACTAAATGGGACAATGTTACAAGAGTAAGAGGTTCTTACTTATAAATAGGCTTACCTGCTGAAAACAGGTCCCTGCTGTACAGATTTTGGGTAGACAGATTAGCTCTTTTAGTCTATCCAAAAGATTTAAATATTTTTTTGAATGATTTAAATATTTTTTTGAATGCCAGGTACAGGCTTTTTGGTTAAGACCTCGCTTTTTAAATTGCCTTAAGTGTAAAGAGTAATCTTGAAGTGTCTTTAGTCCATTTGGGCTGCCCACTCTAACACAGAGGAAAAAGAAATCAGATTGGTTTCCTCAGCCTTCCTTCACCCTGAAGTCTTTTCAGCCCACTGTTTGCCTGGTCTCAATAAACGGTTTCTAATGTCAACTAGGTACTCTTGTGTGGGTTGAGTGGTGCGTGTTGGTGTGTTGGTGTCCCTTCCCTAGGCATGCTTGAGTAGATTTCAGGGGACCTGAGAGCCATGGTCCGTCTCTCTGTTTGCAGGTTGTTGCATTTGGAGGTAGTTTGGTGCCTTTTGCCTCAGATTTCTCAGATAATACTGTGGTAGATGAGAAAATTGCTTTGTCTTTAAATTAGAGTGAAAGGCAATTTTCTGTCCACTCAGAATTAGAAAACAGCTTCCAAAACCACTATTCTTGTTCCTTTTCCAGTATCTTCTGTTCACTTTCGGAATTCAACTTCGGTTTTATTTGAATGAAACTTCATGACTTTCTCTAAGATGCTCGTGGTCACTGGGGATTAGTTGTGAAAACCTTGAGGTTTAATGATTTTGTGTGTGTGTGTGTGTGCAGAAATCAGCCCTGAGCTAACATCCATGCCAATCCTCCTCTTTTTGCTGAGGAAGACTGGCCCTGGACTGACATCTGTGCCTCTCTTCCTCCACTTTATATGGGACGCTGCCATAGCATGGCCTGACAAGCGGCGCATTGGTGAGCACCCTGGATCCGAACCCGGGCCGCCAGCAGCAGAGCGCGCGCACTTAACCGCTAAGCCATGGGGCCGGCCCCGAGGTTTAATGATTAAATTGCACTGGCCTAGTGAGGGGAGCTCTCAGAGTCAACCCCAGCAACTTCAGTGTTTCACAGGGAGTGTCTGATGCACATTTGAATGTTTCAGACCTGAAACTGCTCTCTTTTCTTTCTGCATTTTTGAACTGGGTGTCTCCTCATGGGTCTAGCTTCAGAGAGAGGTAAATAAAACTCAAAATGGCATGGCAGCTATGGTCCACAGCTTTGCTGAGTGAATTGTGATGGAGCCTGGAAGTTTCATCCTTCCCCTAGACTTTCCCACCCCACTTAGATGCCAAGAGGCCAAAGTCCGATCTGTGTTCTGACTCCTATTCTTCTACTCTGGCTTCACCCTCCTTTTAAGTGAGGTTTATATGCAAGATAGAAAAATATCTGGCTTAAAAAGGTTCAGTCTTAACTCTGTTTTATTTCTTTAATCCCATAGTATCTTATCTCTGTCTGATTCCTTTTCTTATGTTATAAATCTTCTCTTGAGAATATTTTCTGTTTTACTCTAAATTTGAAGATCAGATCCTCACAAGGTTGGATGCTACCAGCAAAGGCAGAGTGATCTTTCAGGGTAAGTTTTACCTTGAGGGAGTCACCAGGGTCTAAGCTTTATCTTTTCAGTTTCAAATTTTTGTCAGCACTGAGAATGGATCCAGTTCAGGGATGAACTCATATTGTCCAAGATCATAATATGTATAAAATGATGTGTAAATCTGGAATGCTGACATATTATGTGTAGTCATGCACCACGTAATGATATTTTGGTCAGTGACAGGCAGCATATATGACGGTGGTCCCATACGGTTAGTACCATATAGCCTAGGTGTATAATAGACTATACCATCTAGGTTTGTGTAAGTACACTCTATGATGTTTGCACAACGACAGAATTGCCTAACAACACATTTCTCAGAATGTGTCCCTGTTGTTAAGTGACTGTACGTGATCTTAGCAAGTTTCATTAGAAAATAAGCTCCACAAAAGGCAGAGTCTGTGCTCTGCTGTATCTCCAGTGCTAGTCAGTGCCCAGTATGTGGATACTCAGCAAATATTTATAGACATGGTTTAATCCCTGTCGCTTTTCTCTCTGTAAATACAATACCACCTGCCTCATTGATTGTTTTGAGAATTTTGAGAGCCAGTGTTTATAAGCACTAAGCATGGTATTTGCTACAAAGTAAGCATTCAGTAAATCATCAAAGGTTAGGTATCAGTAAGTTTTTCTTTTATCTTTTGCTTAATTTACTTGAAATGATATAACAGTTACAGTTTCTGCAAATATTTCTTTTACTCCTCATCCATTTTGGGGGGAACTAGTTTGAAATACGAAAATGTATTTTGAATGCTCACTGTGCGCAAAGCTCACTGCTGGATGCTGTGTGGGTTGCAAACACAATGTTCGTACCATATAGAAACTTTGAATCCAATGAAGGAAATAGACTTACCAAATGACTGTATTACACAAGGCCGCTTATAGAGCTATGATGAAAGGCCCGGCATAGGGCTGAGGCACCCTGAAGAAGGGGCACTTCAGCTAGCAGGAGGTGAAATGCCTATTTGGTGAATGATACTATGATGAATAAGGCAGCAGTAGGAAATATATTTCTGAATCATAAAAGACAGTTATGGTTTAAAAGTTGGTATAGTTTTTTTAATGTTATGGTTAGTATAAATTTTGTTTTCATTACTTCATATTCTAATTCTTTGAAAATTTATAATCTATATAGAGTGTTGCATGGCAATGCTATTAACTAGAATGTTTAAAAATCCAAATATTCTGTTCTTCAAACTATTTTAGATAAACACATTTTTAAACTGCATTCTCCCAAGTGATAATACAGTTCTACCAAGTGACATCCTTTCATTGTATAAAAATGAAACTAAAAATTAACTATTGCTTACATAGTTTTAGAATGTACTGTTTGAGATTTTAAAAAGTTCTTGAAAATGAATAGGAAAGTAAGACACTGACATGGAGCTTTTTCTCTTTCTTCTCTTTTCTTTCCTAGTATAGTTTTTGGTCTGTACTTGTTTAAAAATGCAAGCAAGAACAGAGAACACAGCTCATTCTGTACTATTTAAATACCATATATTTGTAGAGGGTACTCCTAATGTAGTGATCTTATTTCCTTCTGCAAATTCTGCTTTCATTGTTTTATCAATCTGATCTCAGTATGGAAATGGTTAAACTATGATTTATCCACACAATAGAATGTTATGCAGCCATTAAAATGTTTACAAGAGGAAATGGTTATTAGTAATGAAAAGAAAAAGTAGAAAAGTATTTATAGTATAATCCAGTTATACATGTAAGAAAATGGGGAATAATAAAAGCCCAAGAGGAAATATGCCAAATATTAAACATGGTTCTTTGGTGTTGGGATCATGTGTGAGGTTTTTTTTTTCCTTTTTCCTTTACTTTCTGAATGTTTTACAGTGTACATGTTTTACTTGCATCATTGTATAAGAAACTGAATAACTATCTGAGGCTGGGGAATAACAGTACCTTAGGATTCACTGTTGTGAATTTTGTTTTAAATCAGAAGGGGACTGCACCTTAAACCAAGGCAAAGATTGATTTGAAAATTCTCCAGAGGAGTTGTAGTCTTTCTTTCTTTCTTTGTGGTAAGGAAGATTGGCCCTGAGTTAACATCTGTTGCCAATCATCCTCTCTTTGCTTGAGGAATATTGTACCTGACCTAACATCTGTGCCTGTTTTCCTCTGTTTTTTTTTTTTTTTTTTGTATGTGGGATGCCCCCACAGCATGGCGTGATGAGTGGTGTGTAGGTCTGTACCTCGAATCTGAACCCACTAACCCTGGGCCACCGAAGCAGAGCACACAAACTTAACCATTACGCTGCTGGCCAGCCCCTCGCCTTCTTCATTACTCTCTTCCACTAGTTTGCTGATGAGGTGCTAGAGTCATCCTTAGTTTGGGACCCTCTGACTCTAGCCAGCAATACCCAATGTTAGCAAAAGTGCTGTTTGTACAATTCTTAGGGAAAATAATTTGTAGTATGTACCAAGAGCCTAGAAAATAGTCATAACCTTTGACTCAAACCCACTTCTGAGAATCTAGTCAAAGAAAATGGTCCAAAATATGGCAAGAGCTGTCTTTGGGGCTGTTCTGCTACAAGTAACAGAATATACATCTAAAAATAGTCTAACCAAATTGGAGTCTCACATAAAATGTCTGGAGGGAGATAGTTGCTGGCCTGAGTCCAGCTGCTCAGTGATGCCGTCAGGATCCAGGGCTTCTTTTCTGCTTTGTCATTCTTAGTGGGCTGAAGCCAGGCTCTAGATTCAAATGCTGACTCGGACACAGCTGTATGACCACATGCAAGTTACTCAACAATTCTGTGCCACTGTCTCCTCGTCTGTAAAATGGAGAAAATGATAATAGCTGTATAGACATTTCTTCTGTGTTTATGGCAACAAGAAGGGGCATTGCCACTTCTCTCCCTTTTAGTGGGAAAACAAAAAGCTTTTGCAGGATTGCTGCGACAGCCTTCCCTTTGGTCTCAACCAGAACTGAGTTACATAGCCATGCTACCAACAAGGGAAGCCAAGAAAGCAGAAAATAGGATTGTTGACCTCTCAGTTTAGATGGATCATAACCACCCCAACAGAACTGGCTTCTGTTAGCAAGGAAGAGAGGGAAATGGATTTTGGATAGGCAAGTAGCAATGTCTGTTACAAGCTATCTGTAGGGAAATGTTCATTGCAACATATAGTGGCAAAAATAGTGCAAGAAAATGTCTAAAATATGAGAATAAACAACTTGGTATATAGTTATTAGATGGAATATTCAACTATTAATCACTTTGATAAAAAAGTTAAAGAAAAAGTATAGACACTATAGTAATGTGAAAAAATATTTTCAAAAGCAAAGTATAAAATGATTTTAAGACAAACATTTTTCACATTTTTAATTGATGAAATTGGGATGTCTTAAAATTTTTGCAGCCAAATGACAGTCCTGACATAGTTCTCATTGCCTTCACATTCATGAACTTGGTCTAAAAATCTTAAGTTGACATCTGCTAAGATCAAGCAAGGACCAGCATCAAAACTTGCAGAATGGGAGCCAGTAGCTTGTAAGAAAATTCCAGAAAAAAATAGTGGAACATTTTTCTAAAATTTTCAACTTTTTATTGATGTATAATATATACATAAAGTACAAGTACCATAAAGTGTACTTAAGCTCAATGAATTTTCACCAGTTGAATACATCCCTGTTATCAGCATCCAGACCAAGAAACAGAACATTACCAACACCTTGGAAGCCTCTTTTATGAGTGGAAAACTCAAGAAATGCTGCATCACCAAGGTTCTTAATGGCACAGAGAGTGATGTGTGGAAAAACATGGACAGCTATGATGCCAAGTCAAGCAGGGTGATTCAGAAGAGTCTAATTTTGAATGCAAAGAAGCTTATGCAATACCTTAACCAATTTATTTCACTTTTTAAAACATGAACAAGAGTAGATAAGTGATTTTTAAATATCTCTGACAAAAAACTTGAGAGCTCTTTCAATACGTATACATTTTAAAATTCTAGTAAGAAAGCATTGTGTTGTAGTTTAAATGTCAGCAAGTTTTTCTTTTTTTTTAATTTTTTCTTTTTTTCTTTTTTTGTGAGGAAGATCAGCCCTGAGCTAACATCCATGCTAATCCTCCTGTTTTTTTTTGCTGAGGAAGACCGGCTCTGAGCTAACATCTATT